AGATGCATGATCGCTTAAGCGATTTAAGGTCTCGCTTAAGTGATTCTTCACTTTTACCCTTAGTTGCTTAAGAGATCTACGATCACTTAAGCGATCATGTCCTAGGCAGAATCAAGATCACTTAAGCGATTCTTCACTTTTGCCCTTGGTCACTTAAGCAATTCATGATCGCTTAAGCAACCAAGGCCATTTTGCTTCTTATCTCATTGATCTTTTGATGTTGTGCACGTTTGAGTGAGAAATTATATTCTATCATAATCATCCATATTTGTGAAATGAGGTACGTTTCTACTAACGTGCCACACTCGTGACTAATTCAGTAAATTGATTGATTGATTGACTTGATACGATAATTATATTGATAATATTGATTTTGCCTATCTTACTTCTTTGGGCAACAATCAGTGCTGTACAGAGGTAATATGCGAAATTTTACTTACTTAAACCCTTTTTAAAATGGATGAAAATGAAAAATAATTAATTTGATTTAATACATTATAAAGGATGATTTATTCAAGGTAACAATTAAATTTAAAACATAAAAATTGAAAACAACAACTCTTCAACGGTTGGCCTTCTCAACTCTCTCGATTTCATCCTTCTTCTTGATGACATAGCTGGAAATACAGGGATATAAAATCAGTTTAATGCACCACAAAAGAGAAACATAATAACTTCATCAAATCGCTTAAGCGATCTTTGGTCGCTTAAACGATCTGCTAGTCAGATCTGCGTATAAGAAAAGATCGCTTAAACGACCTTACGTCGCTTAGGCGATCTGGTGGTCACAAGATCTGATCTGAGCAGTAGATCGCTTAAGTGATCTAGTGTTCATATTTGATCTGAACAACATCTTAGGTCGCAAGCGATGTGATGTTTAGATCTGCGGATAACAGTTGATCGCTTAAGCGGCAAATCACTTAAGCGACCAAGGATTGCTTAAGCGATCAACTGTTATCTGTAGATCTAAACATCAGATCGCTTAAACGATATGTTGTTCAGATCTGTAGATAACAGCCGATCGCTTAATCGATCTTATGTTGCTTAAGCGATCCGATCTTATCTGCAGATTGCTTGCTTTCTTGCTACTGATCAATTCAAACCTGATTTTCTAGATCTGCATGTGATTAATTCTGGCAATTGCTTCTCTCGTGGCTAGATTGCTTGCAAATTGAGCACTTATTCATCCTCTGGGAACCTCATAGGCTGATGGAATACATTTAACTATTTTTCTCTCCTTTTTTGTCTTCTTGAATGGCGGATGGATGATAATGTCAATCAACTCTGACGGCACCACCCACTGATCTTCTAGAGGAATTAGATATATCGTTTCCGAATAAGCTAGCATGTAGTGATTTGCCATATAGAGAGAGGAGCAAAGTTCCATGTAAATTCTCGAACCAAAATCCGGCTTCCGTTGGTGTTTCAATGTTGCTAGTGCATGAGGACAAGGTAAACATTGAATGTCAAGCACTTTACAATTGCAAGTTTTACTAAGAAGTTTAATTAGAGCATCCAAACCATAGCCGTGCACGATGAACTCTTGAGCATTAAAAGGATAGGCAAACAGTGCATTTGACAGTTTCATACGTTCTCGTAATAATTTTTCAGTTGACGGAATAAGAGTTGTGGTAAAATTATCTAACTCCGTACGACGCTCATGGAACCACCGTGACAATGTTCTCTAGATTGCATCAAAAATGGCAACTATTGGAAACTCTCTTTCTATTAACAACTTCAAATTTATGGACTCGGCTATTTCCATGGTCATGATATTAAACATTCTTCCAAGAAAGTAAGCTCTACTTCATTGCTCGAAACCAACATCATGCTCAAGATACTTAGCAATTCTATCATCCTTGATTCGGATTTGCTAGAAGTGCTCCTCGAACTCATCAACTCGATAAGCTTTTGTTGTCATGTAGTATGTCTGAAGGAGGCCATCACACTTAAACTTTTGTTTTATATTCTCACCAAGGAGCCTCATATAGAAACCGTGATGTGCTTGAGGGTAAATAGTGGCAATCCCCTTCTTTATAGAGTTGTGCCTATAAGATATTATGCACAACTTGTCACTGTCAAGTACTATTATACGTAATTGCTGAAAAAACCAAGTCCACGACTTGTCGTTCTTAAAGTCAACCACACACTATGCAACGAGATATGTGTGATTCTTGCGGTCCTATGCAATGGCCACCAACAATGTACCTCCATACTTCCCCATCAAAAAGCAACCATCAACAGCCAACACCTTTCTCATGTTTACAAAACCCGTTATAGCAACACCGTAAGCAACAAAAAAATATTTAAACCTCATATTCTTGTCCCACTTCAAAGTCGTCTTGCTACCTTGGTTTGTTCACTCAAGCATATAATGGTATGCTTTTAATACTGCGTACATGTGCTCCAGCATGCCCCTCACAAAATCTTATGCATGTTGTCTCCCTTTCTAACATTTCCAGTAACTAACAATGCATCCCAACTGTGTGACCACAAGTCTCTGAATGTCCTTAGGAGTGGACCTTTCCATTCAATAAACTGACTTTTGACAAATTGTCCAATAACGTTAGTAGAGGCTTATCAATGCTCACCTAAAATATGTCCCAAACCACATGTGTGCTCATGGGTATATGTGCTAACAATAAATTTTTTGGACTCCGCCAACCTTCTACAATAAACCCGCCACTTGCACTTTCAATCACAACATGCAATCGTTACTACCAATGAATTAGACTTTTTGGTGATGAACTCAAAATTACCTCTCACGACAACAAGTTTTAACTTCCTCACCACTTCCTCTTTGTTGTCAAATAAATACCATATGCGCAAGTCCGATCCATCAGTAAAAACATGAGTTGATTCACTACCTGCAATTGTCGCCTCTGAACCTGCATAAAGGACCATAGTGTTCTCTTCCTCACAAACTAAATCTTCTACATAATATGTATTTAAAGGAATCTCTACATCTGCGGAAACATGTACGAAGTCCTCTTCGTCAACATTTTCATTCTGTTGCACATGACCAACCTCTTCTACTGTGTCCTCCTCACCACCCAAATCACCGCCTACTCTTGATTTTTCAACTAAGAAATCAATGCCCTCGTAGTTTAAATTAAAACCAACATTCTCTCTAACAACTTCCTTTTTATCCCTTTCCTTTGAACCAACTTCCAACGGTTTATCTACAAAAGAAACCCTTAAAATCAGCCTCGAACCATTATCGCCAACATCAATCATATATAACTTCACACCTTCATTCGACTTTAATATAACAGGAGATATCTTATACTGTTCAGGAACTCTGCCTAAAATATACTTCACAACTATATCACTACATGAGCAACTCAAATCATCTCTTCTAATTATTTCTTCAATCAACTCATCAAAACTAACCTCTGTACTCACAGTAATTGGTATAACTTTTTTGCTCTTCCCAATCCATTTCTAGCAACTTTCTTCCTCCACCCACTCACCAAAATATTCAACACCCAAAACAATTTGTCCCATGTCTAATAATAGCCAAGTACCTATAATGCAAGAAAAAAAAAATTATTAACTGATGTATTAAGGGTTGAAAGATTTTAAAAAGCATCTGCAGAATCCCTTGAGCGATCTAGTGTATCGTTTAAGAGATCTAGTATATCGCTTACTGGATCACTTAAGCGATCCATTATATCGCTTAAAGTGATCTGGTATAAATAAACCTGATCTTCTGCCATTTACCTGATCGCTTAAGAGATATGTTGCCATATACCAGACTTATAGCAGATCGCTTAAGCGATCTTCTGCCATTTACCTGATTGCTTAAGCGATCTGCGATCTGCTGCATTATCCTAGACATAACAGATCACTTAAGCGATCCATCATATTCATAACACACTTTCAGTCATCTCCACCTAGAATCGGTGCTACCACCGCCAACTACCCACAATGCAAGAAAATATTCAACAAATTTCACTCCTTTCAACTTGCATTACATCAAACACAACCCAACATTAAATCTTTGTAAATCAAAATATAAAATGGAAAGGGGAGATACATATACCTGGACAAAATGTCAAGAGGAGGAGGAGGAAGATCTGTGGTGGAGAAGATGTTAATGGCGGAGGAAGAAGATAGTGTTAATGGCGGGAAGAAAAAGATGTACAGGAAAGAGGAAGAAGAAGATGCAGACGAAGCTTAGAATAAATAGCAACCAAGGGAGGGATGCGTTAATGGCAGGAGGAAGAAGAAGAAGATGTTATGTTTGGGTTTGTTTGCAAGAATTTCAGGTTTTTGGGGACATATTATAAATTTTAAAAGATTACACAATACTTCATTAATCCTATTTAAGTCATGATTAGTGTTTAATTGTTATTAGTTTGTCTTAATAAAAAATAAGATCATTTGGTAAAAACTAAAAAACTACATGGCATTTTAATTAAATTCAAGGCCAATATGGCCTTTAAATAATTTGCCTCGAGAGTTCAGGCATCAAGGTTGAAAATTGAGAAGAATGAAAATGAATCAGGTTTATGGCATTTTCAGGTTTATGGATTTGGATCGGGTTGACTATGCAAAATCGGATCCATTATGATACCTGACTCGCATTGAAGGTCAAAAGTCAAAACAAGTCTAATTAAAAAAAAAAAATCTCAAAAACTTTAGTTTGATATAAAATTCAAATATAATTTTTTTTTTTTTTTTTTGAAAAAAGGGGATACAATGAGTCTTATTAAAATGTTTTTGGTAGAAATAAATTGAAAAGTTTTCAAAAAGCAGTTTTCGACTATAATCTTAAACATTAATGTAAAATTAAAAAAGGATTAAAAGTTATTTTATTATTTTATATGATTTTTAATCAGAAAAGCATAAATATTATATCAAACACATTTTAAAATATTAATTATTAAAAATATTAAGATACAACCAAAAAATTAAAATCGTATTTGATTTTTAACATTAGTTTTTAAGCACAAATCAAACAGAGTTTCACTTCAAAATTCTATATTAATGCTTAACAAATTAGGTGTTAAAGAGTAATTTTTTATTTTACATAATGAAACTCTAAGCAAAAACGGTAGAGAAAACATATATATATAGCTCAAATGTGAGTTTCAGGATCAGCTTCACACTCTGAAAGAGCCTGGACTATTGCGTCCATGGTTGGCCTCTTGCTTCTATCTTCCTCCACACATGATATCCCAATTTCAACCAATTTTGCAGCCTGATTTCTACTAAAATTCCCATTCAATCTTGCATCAATCATCTCTTCTATCCAATTCTCCTCTCCAGATTGCATTTTCCCTTTCACTATCCTCACATTTCTTGTTAGCTCAGCTTCTTGCTCATCATCGCCATCCTCGACTGCCACCGGATAGGAAACCCGAATCCCTTTCACTATTTCGAGAATTACCACTCCGTAACTGTAAACATCAACCTTGGAAGTGATGGGAAGATTCATAGCCCACTCTGGAGCCATGTAACCTTTTGTTCCGCGAATCCTGGAGACTTCAGAGTTTCTTTTGCCTCTCTGGGACAATTTGGCCAGCCCGAAATCTGCAATCTTTGGTTCAAATTCACTGTCCAGGAGTATGTTTTCAGGTTTCACATCACAATGAATCACCCATTCTAGACACTCATGGTGAAGATAGGCTAATCCTTTAGCTGTTCCCAGGGCAATTTTAAACCTCTCTTTCCATCCGAGAAAATTTTCTGATGAGAATAAGTGTTTGTCCAGGGACAAATTTTCAACAAACTCTTAGACTAAGAGTTTGTGGCTAGCTTCCGAACAGAATCCCCACATTCTCACCAGGTTCATGTGATAGATTTTTCCAATAGTGCTCACTTCAGCCCAAAATGCTTCTTCTCCTTGATATATGTCTCCAAGTCTCTTCACGGCAACCACCCTTTCATCAGCTAAAACACCTTTATACACTACTCCGAAGGCTCCTCTGCCAAGCTCTTCCTGGAATTTTTGTGTTGCCTTCTTGAGTTCAGAGTGACTAAATCTCCTAAATTGGCTTGATAGTGCACGATATCCATCTTCAACTACAGATGGCACACCAAGTCTTGTGAAAAGGAGCCACCAACCTGATAGTAGAACTAGAAATTCAATTGCACCAAGAACAAACACAAAGCTGTAAATGCAAATCCATATCAGTTTCTGACCAGACTCACCAGGAAAGTGATACATAGAAGAAGATCCAACTGTAATGTTAGACTCGCTTAATTTGCATATGCGCTTGAACTTAATGCCACTGACAAGTCCTGCTACATTATAACTGGCTGGCACTTTTATATAAGTTGTAGTCCAAACATCGGGAGAACTATGGCCATTGAAAAGCATACTTTTTGTGAAGCAACTAGCTTGTTCTGTTATCCTATAGGTGTATGCTTCACACCGAAAATCATCTAGGCAAAGCTTCATGCAATCCTCTTTTGATGAAGGTTGAGTGAAATTGAGGTCAAATCCCCAGAAATCAACTTTTGGAACTGTGATGAATTTCACTTGCTTTGAGTTTAAAGTAAAATTTCTGTTGAACTTAGGCTTGCACCCTTCGTTCCAATTGCCTTGCTCGGTTAACTCAAACTCTGGAGGGCATGAACACTTTGGCTTATGTGGTGCATAAGTACAAATCCCATTTCTGCCACAAACTCCATGAACTTGACACTGCTGCAGAAGAGCCAGCCATGACACCATCCAGAGTCCTGTCACATTGTTGAGACTATAAAGCCTGAGATTCCCATCATAATCTATTGTTAGCCTTCTTTTGATCCTAAAATCACCCATGTCTAAAGCACTGAATTGCAATTTATCACTTGACAGGAAGTGGCCTCTTCCATCTAAAACAGCAACTCCACTACTGTTGTACTTTGTTCTTCCATTTTGGAACACATCATAATCAGGATTAGGCCAATACACACTTGAAATATCAGGATCATCATATATCAACCTCAGCACATTTTCATCATTAAAATATAAGCTAAAGTACCCAGAAGCGAAAGCTCCTGGCCCTGATCTAGAAACCAACTTTTGCCTCCAGGTAAAGGGTTGGTTAGGAAGCAAAGTATCAGTAGGAAAATCAAAGCTTTGCCATAGAGTGTTACCATCTATATCCTTCAGAACAAGATTTCCGGAATCCAAAAGCTCAGCTCTATCAGCACCAGTAGAGGAGGTGTTAGTAGTCCAAATCACAGAGCCATCAACATCCTTAAGGACCAAATCACCATTTTTTTGCAAAAAAACTTTTGAGCCCTTGCCATTGACTGGTCTCTCGCGGTTGGCCATCCAAACAACAGTTGTGTCTTTTGAATTGGTGAACCAGATTGAGAACCAGTAAGCATTTTCACCAAGACTATAGAAGCCACATGTGAAAGTTTTGTCTGGGGAGGTTAAGTACACATGTGAACTATCTTCAACTGATAAAGAAGAGCCTCTTTGCAACAAGTTCTGGCTTTCAGAAGATTCAAAAGAGGTGAACAAGGAGACTAATAGACAAATGAGAAGAGTGGGAAAGTTTGAAAATGTCAAAGCTTGGTGTCTCATGCTTCTTGTTGATGAATATTGTTCCTGGTTCTTTACTCAGAGGAGATAATGAATTGCAATTAACTTCTACTGAAGTTTTAATCAGTTTGATTATGAGAATTATCCTAATTTCGTTCTAAGATGATACTTCAGAGACGACAATTTGGACCCCTCCTAGTCCAGTCAATTACATGTTTGGCAGATCCATAATCCCCTTGACTCCATTATTTATAAAATTTTTTTTATACAATCTTGTGTGTCACCACTCTTTAATTGACATGTCATCCATCTAATTTATTAAACATTTAATAAATTAATTTTTTATGTGTATTTATCCATTCATTTTATGACACATGGATTGTATGAAAAATATTGTACACAAAAATTGATGCAAATGTTTCTATTTTCTGAAAAAAGGGCTGGGTGTAAAACATCATCTATTTAACCATCTTAAAATTCTTTTAGTTTCATCCCTCAACTTGGTATTTATATGCATTCATATAGGGAATGATAGATTATTTGGATATTATTTTAATTATATCAAATACTAGATAAATAATAATAATTTCTTTTCCATAATAACTATAACAATAAAAATCACTGTATATAAATATTCCCAGCCACAGAATTGTTAAGTTTATTCACAAANAACCTCCGACTCTAGATCATCCACACGATGATCTAGATCCTCCGACTGCGTGCTCACCCTTTCTTCTACACGAGATAGGCGTGAGTCAAAACTGGAAATAAAATCTTTGGACTTACCTCTCTGCCTTGAGGGGTTGGGGTTGGGGTCGACTTTCTCTGGACGACCACGTTCTTGGGAAGCCTCCATCTCTGCCGTCTTGGTTGCTTTGGAAGCGACAGTATCTTTTGCCATTGAATGAAAACCGAGGTTATGCTAACCGAGGCTCTGATACCACTTGTCACGCACTTAACTTCTTTGCTAAGTTCACGCGGCCTTAACTCGTCGGGAATGAGTTAAGCAGCCTAACACTCACACAAACTCACAGGCTAAAGTATGTAAACGAGAGAGAAGTATAGAGAAAATATAAACTCTGTATATTGCTGGAATTCAAGTTATGAACTTTACATGGTGGAGTTGGCTATTTATAGGCTCAAGCTCCTCAAACAAATGTATGACTAAGCTACATGCTTCAGCATTAGAAAACCTTGTGTGTCAAGCATTGGGACAGCCTTGGAAACGAAGCTCATTGGTGGCGCACATGTGTGCAACCTTGGAAACGAAGCTCGTGGGTGGCGCGCATGTGTGCAACCTTGGAAACGAAGGTGCTTAGTCGCCGAACCTAGCTGCTGAGTCGTTAACTTAGCTATTAAGTTAACTTAACTCTTAAGTCTGCTTCACCCGGAAGTCTACTTAATCCGTAAGCAACGTGAACGTGCAGCATGCTTGAGTCGGCAAGCAGGCTGGTCGTGACAATAAGGTGCCATCCCTACGGCTGTGCCATTGGCATTTCCTAGAGCATCAGCATTCTTCACGAATCCTCCAGCAGCAGTGCTTGCTACGTGAGTTCTATGCCCATCTATATCATCAGGTGGTTCAGCTCCGTTGCCCTTCATGCTCGAACCTGCGATATTGAATGATCTTGCACCAATAAGTTTGTTGTTACAGGCAGAAATGTTAAACTCACATCGTCCTTTCCATTTAGCTGGAGGGGGTGGCATTCCTTCATCACTGAAAGATGGATGGCTAGGGAGAATCCCACCATCCAATACTCCAATAATAACTCCCTTTCCGAAATTTGATTCTTTCCAAACTCCCATCTCAGAGTTCAACCCCAAGAAGCTGGGCGTGTGTGTTGTGTGCAGACGTAGTTTCCTTCAGGACGTGTTGACACAAACCCATTTTTCTTCTTAAGAATCTGAAGTTCGTCCTCTGTCAATCTTGCTGCGAAGCCATCAATAACATTTTGTGGCACGTCTGTGTTTGTTCTTGTAGTGCTAAGTGGCAGAAAAGATTTGTGCCAGTTCTCTAGATCTTCTGATTGTGTAAGAAGTCTGCCTTCCGGCTGCTTCACATGGACAATGTAAGTTTGCAAAGTGTTCCTTTCAGTTCCTTGAGCAATGCTGAGATGAAAGTTGAACAAGAGAAAGAGAAAAATGACACTCATCTTTGATGGAAAAGTACTGCTCTTCATGAAGTAGAAGAGAAGTATCGTACGGTTTTTGTGTTTATGTCAGTGGTAGTTTAATGAACTATATATATACAGCTGAAAGAAGGAGAGATAGCCGGCGGCATCTGATTTCTGCTCAGTTTTGAGTTGAGTATTCCTGTTGGATCATTGTGGTATGGCGCTTTCAGAACTTGGTATATGCTTTTACTCCAGAGACGGCAAATTGGGGTAGTATTTGTTAGTATTTATTTGAAGGACAAGACCAAATCCTCGTAGCTTAAGATTCAGTTACAGTGTTTGGGTTTTACCAGCTTAAGCGTTTGTCTATTCCACTTACCTCAAGGAAAGGGTTTTAAACATTTCAAATTTGACTGTGCCAACCATGTCAGTACAAGTATATATTATTGGGATTGAGGTATATACCTCTAGCTAAGGGTGTGCAAGATTTTTGGGTAGAATTGGAATATGTGGATACTTAGGGTTTCGGTTACAATTCCCAATTGTGTGAAACCGGTACTATGCAGTTCTAGTATCAACTAGGATTGACAAAAAAAAAAAAAAAAAAAAAATCGAAAACCGAAAAAACCGATTAACAGATTTTTCAGACCGGTTTCAATTCGGTTCGGTTTACGATTTTTTTTTTTTTCTGCAACCCTGTTGATACGTTTTGATTTCAAAAAATTACTAATTGGTTTACCGGTTCGGTTTTCGGTTTTATTATTTTTGTAATCGGTTACCGAAACCGGTTTCCTATAATCACATATAATATATTATTTTAATTTTAAAAATCTTTATTCTTTATTAGTTTGAATCCTAGTTAGTAAATTCGCGTTTATACGTGAATTATATGGCTAGCCGTATATTCCGTATATAAAACGCGAATTCCAGTATTTTATTAGGGTTGCCGTATAATTCGCGAATTATATACCCTATTCATATCAATTCGTGAATTTACGCGATTTTTGCCGAATTTTTGCAGACAAAAAAATAATTAAATGATAAGGCAAAACGACGTCGTTTGGTGGTTGGGTTGACTAAAATTAAAGAAAACTCCTTCATCTTCCTCGGTTCTCTCTTCCCAGTCTTCATACTCTTCTTCAAATCTTCAACAATCAACCTTTTTTCTTCATCTATGACTTTTTGAGTCTGTATCTCTTCTTCTCTTCTCTTTTTAACTCTCTTCTCCAAGCTTTAAGTCCAAACTTCAGCTCTTCAAGCCTCAAGCTACACACTTCTCTCTTCTCTTTTAACTCTCTTGAATCTTGTATGTTGGTGATTTGTTTTGTGTTTGGTGGGTGTTTGTGAGTAGTAGTAATAGGGGCTGTGATTAATGGTTTGTTATATTGTGGATTGAATAGATTGTTTGAAACATGTTTGATGAAATGCTTGTGAGAGTTATATTTGATACTGTTTTAACATAATATTTCATTTAGTTCGTTGTTTTGTGTTGTATGGTCAAAATGAAAAACTAAAGATCATCTATGAAAGCAAAAGGTAAGGCAAAACTGCAAAAGAAAAGCAGAATTCATAAATAATATGTCGGGCTTGGATTTTGGAATTGGTAATACTTAAAGAAGAGAAAAAAACACAAACCACACAGCTTGCAACCAACCCAACTGCAAATTGTAAACCCATGTGCACTCTATCATGTTTTTAGATTTCATAACACTATTATTATTGTACCTTTGAATGCACTGTCCATTAAATTCAGAAATATAATTTAGAAAAATAAAACAACTATACTAATTGGAATCCAAATTTTGTATGCATAGCTATAAAATTACGGATAAAAATACTAGTCTTAGTTATTGTTCAAATATACTTTAAATAAAAAGGAAAATAAATTGTAGGGTCGACCACAATGGATTATTTAAATCGGGATGTTTTAAAGTGTTAAAACCAAGTTGCTATTGCCGTATTTTTCAAAACGTATTATGACAATGTGTCGTATTAAACCCGTATATATCGAATCGTATTTTTTTCGTATCCAATTTTATGACCGAATTTTACAAACGTATTTTCACCATTTACCGTATCATACCCGTAAAATTTCCGTACCCTTTTTTTGGTCGTACCCGTATTTACAACTAGTTTTGAATCCATTATATAAATACGGTTTTATACGCGAATTATAGTCCAGCTGTAAATTCACGTATAAAACGCGTTTTAACGTATGTTATAAAAATTGCTGAATATACACGATATATGAATACCCTTATAATCGCGAATTATTCGTGTATAATTGGCGAATTATTCATGTATTATTGCAAAAAAAAAAAAAAAAAAAAAAAACCTTTGCCACCCCAAAACGACTCGTTTTAGGGGGTTTAATTCAAAATTACAACCCGAGTATCCTTCTCTTCTTCAGTTCTTCTCCTTCCTCAGTTCTGCGACGGATGACATTTTCAGCTTTTTTTCCTCAGATCTTCGACGTTTTCAGCTTTTCTGCCAATACTTCTCCTTCCTCAGCTCGGACGGCGAACTGGTTGAGATTTTAACGGGTTTGTGTTTGTGTTTGGGGGAGAAGAATAAATTTGTGGAAGGCGAATTGGTTGAGGGTTTTAATGGGTTTGTGTTTTTGTTTGGGGGAGAAGAATAAGTTTAAAGAAAGGAAAGTATTGGCAGAAAAAATAACCTGTAAAGCAGATGCCATTGTTGGAACTCTGGAAGAAGCAGTTGGCTTTGTGGGTGACAGGGTGAGACCGTGAGACACTGAGAGATGATTTGATTGAAGAAGAGAGAGGGAGGGGGGTTTTCAAGATGGGTCACGGGTGTTTAATTTGTGTTTGTGGTGGATTTCAACACTCAACATTGTAACTGTAGATTACGTTTTATAATTCTATTGCATAAACAGAAAAAAAAAAAATATATATATTTTCTATTGGTGGGATAGAACAAGACATGGGGTGG